AGGTTCTATGAGGTCTTAATGTGCTCCATGAAAATATTGCCACACAACAATACCAACTGTGCATCTGGGATCCAGGATTTTGTTTGGAAATTGGCATTTAGCACAAGCCTGTCGATGTGATGGAACAGAAAACATGATTCGTCGGAACATGCAACTTTCTTCCATTCTTTCAATCTCCAATTCTGATGTTTCTTGGTCCCTTGCAGATGTAGCTGGCGATGACATGCCGTTAGTGCAGGAGCATGCTTTGGCCTCTGGTTCCGTAGGCTCATACGCAGCAATGTACGCTACAATGTGTGTTGAGAAAAATGTTCTGGGTCACCACTGTTGTAACTCTTCGGTTACAGAGAACAATGTGTAGCAATCTCAGCTATCCTCTGGAATCAATGTGTCATCAATGACAGACTGCTGGCTGGCGACTTATCATTTTACCATCTATACACCACTTTCAATATGTGCTCACACCTGCACGTGAACAGCCCACTAATCGCACCATTTCTGATATTGATGTTCTCAGTTACCAAGCTGTAACAATTTGACCTTTATTGAAGTCTGACAAATCAGCTGCTTTTCCTATTATGTTGCTAATTGCACTATGTTTGGAAAGACAATGCATATCTGCTTTATGTACATCAGCTGCACACATGCAGTGGTTTTGTTCCTGGCCGAACCCATTGTTATAGATGGAGGGTGGTTATAATGTAATGGCTCTTCAGTATATGTATGTATATATCTTTTATATATGTTTGTTTTAGGAAAAGAAAATATAAAATTACATTAGGTATATATCTTTAAAAAACTCCTCCTATTGACTGTGAAACTGTTGTCAAACAAAGTGAATTAGTGCCAATTATAGGTAAGCGGAGCGTAACAACACACTCATAACATCTGGGCTTTCAATACTGACTGATTTTTGATAAGCCAGTTTTTTTATGAACAAGATGTAAATTATAATATAAGTTTGTGATAAGTAGCATGGCTATAAGTTTTTGTTGCATTTTGGGAAAAAAATAATAAAGGATTGTTGATATTCATACCTGCCTTCTGCAGAACAGCAAGCAGTAGATTAATTTCAAAGTTATAAGATCCTGCCATTAAATTGTGTTCCTTTACAAACTAGAGAATTAATATCTGTTAAATGGGGAAACGAACATCTAGATATGGCCGACAATACAGTAATAAATTGCAACCTGTGAGGGTAGAGTCTTTAATCTTAGCATACCTAGACAGAGCTTCCAGTAAAATTTGAGGGTGTAACAAAATAGTTTAATTTGATGAAAGCCTTTTTATGAAGTGGGTTGAATACTGATTGTTTATTAAATAAAGAGGTGTCAGTTTCTTCAGAAACGGGAATGATTGTTATAAATCTGGCAGGATCTCTGCTAACTTTCATTGGTTTGACAATAGCAATTTCCACAATCAATGGGATAATATAAAAATTCCTTTTATTTTTCTGCAGTATTTTCTTTATTTAACCTGTTCCTGGGTGCTGTAAAATTGATGTATTTGTATAAATTACTTATTGTTATTATTTTATTTATTTATTGTAATTTTGTTGAAAATAGTTAGTTACTATGATTTTACCTTAAGGTATGCCCAGGAAGAGAAGGCCCAATATTTTTTGGGGATGATCACAGAGGGCATGTTTTAAGTCACACGTTCTTCCTTAAAGATAGCCAAGCTCGAGGATTTCAGAGCTGGTATAGTATAATTATTGTCATGAGAGATAAGATCTTCCTTCTAAATTCATGGGAATTTTTAGTGAAAAATTTCCAAAAAATAATTACAGAGCTTCAAGAAAAAGCTAATAAAGTGAGTTTTATTTGACTCTTTCACGTTTCCATATCATTGTGTATTTAAACCTGTTTACACTTTTAAATTTTCTGAATTTTTAAGTTATTTGCAATACTTAGCATTCATTGAAGTTGTAAATTTTTCTCAGTATCTTGCATCTTTTTTAGTTACTTTTTTTTTCAAGTAATAGTAATAATAATAATAAAAGAAAATGAGTGCATTAAATTGGAAATTTCATTTTTTTTTCCAAGGTAGTTTGTAAACCAGCTCTTTTTTTCTTTTTTTGTCTGGAAAATGAAAAAATTACTATTATTATTTTAACATCTGATTTGTATGAATCTCATTTCTTTGATGAATTTTCTTCCTTAAACATTGCCAAAAAGCTTTTAATGGAAAAATTTTCATTTCAAAAATTAAACACGCATAAGCTCATATATATATATATATATAGATATATTATGTAATTCGGTAGATGGCTGTATTAATTGTAATAAATTTCATATGCTTGGGAGGCAAGACGCCAATTATTTTTTAATCATGGTTGAGATGGTTATAAATGTAGAAAATAAAGCGAGTAAATATATTAATTGAAGGATCACTTAATATAAAAAAGACCTAAAAGAGGAAAAAAAATCATTCTACATATTTTTAAACTTTTTTTCATTTAATAAATTGCCTCATAAAAATTTTTAATATGAAATAATTATATTGAAAACCGCACTACGTTGCACTTAGTACTTACGTGGTACATTCCTCAGTTTTGCAGTGCATACAGATTACAAATTTTTTAAATTTTGTCTGTACAGGCTCGACAAACGTATTTTTTTACAATATTCACAAGTGTTAAAAGTTTTATTGCCTCTGCATTCATTTATTTGGCATTCATTATGCTTGCAGGAAGGGTTGACACAAGTATCATTTCTCTTTTCATTGGATGCAGAAAGTTTGTGAATTTGGATGAAATGTACATCTTTTGAAGCTTCTCAGCTATATTCAAAATAAAATCACAACGGCAGATGTTCTTATATTCAGTTGTTTTCTTGTAAATTACCCACGCATGTATCGCAGACAAATCAAGAATATTAAAAAAACTTGAATAGGCCAATGTCTGGATAATGACTTCACTGAGTATTTTCTGGTCATCTAGTTCAAAACATCAGGTCCATATTTGATCCAATTTTAAAAATTCACAACTTCCAGTGATGAAAACATCAAATGGGATTTCCAATATTGGGTGCCTAGTACTCGGAAGCAGGACGTTCTTGTTTTTTCGTTTCTTTGATAAGATGTAAGCATTATATTGTCATGCTTGTAAGCACGATTGTAAATTATTTATTGTTATTAGACATAATATCTATTGAGAAATGGCAACAGCTAATTTCCGGATGTCGTTCTATTTGATACTATTTTTAAAATATTAAGATGTAGTACAATGGAAATGTATATTGGTACGATGCAGTAAGAATGTCTGCTATGTTATGTACATTTACGAATATGTTGTAGTGTAGGTTATTAAGTAACAAGTACGATTTATCTTTAATTAAATGTTTGTTTGTCTTTTATAATCATTTTATGAATGAACTTAATTACAAAAGAAAGCTAACACTGCTTAGCAATCATACTGGAATACAGCTCATTCCTTGTATTTTTGAAAGAATAAAGTGCTTCTCTTTTTTCTTCAAATGATGTTCGTTCGGCTCAAAACTCGATGTTTTCACACGGAAAAATATATGATGCTAATATAAAATTGCTAATATTTCAAGATTATGTTGCTAGCAGATGTTCAACCTTACACTATGACATTTTACATTAGACAGCTTTAAACATAACTTACTAGTGGCACAATTTTTGTCAAACAGTGGACACTTATTTGTACTCCCAAAAATTATACCCTCATTGCCATACACTCATGGATCTGTGTAGATTTCACATGGTCACATATACCTTGCATTTAAAAAGCAAATTATGGAATGAATTTGAAATTCAGTTTGGCCTTCTATAATCTTATGGTAGAAACGCTACACATCTATCAAATATTGGAACCAGCAATGTAGAGAATCAAAACATAACATTTTGGTATTTTTTGATTATCTTCTCTCTGAAAAACATTTATTTGGCTATCTTTATGCCTTAAAGGTACTGTATAGTTCATAAATAGTTTTACAAATAGCTAGAAATGAAAGAGAAAGTAATCATGATATTTATTTATTCTAATTCATGATTTATTCAGCTAACTATTTAAACCAAATTAACTCTTTGATATAACTGACTCTTGCTGCTCAAATGCTGCTGTTTGTATGGGGTTATCTGACTTTAAAGAAATTTTGGGGAGAAGTGCTCCCAGAGTTTCATTTCTGGAGAAAATGCACTTTTTGAAAACTCCTAAAAAGTTGCCAAATTGGCAGAAAATTGTCTAATGTTGAATGTCTTGAAGGCCTGGCAGGAGAGTTTTTGCCTATATCTCAACTTTTAATTTAACTAATCTCACAATTTAAATGCTGTTCATTTCAGAATTACAAGATTAATAGAGCTACAATGCATACACAAAATAAATGCAAACACAATGTATGACCACAAATATTATTAAACAAAAGTAGACCCTTGAAATTATTCAATAAAATTCAATCTAATCATAACACATAACATTATAATAGTACACAAAAATAAAAATACAATTAAGTATTTACACCAATATATTATATGTGTATGTGTGCTTGATTTCATGTACCTCATCTTGTTTTTATTCATGTGACAAATAAATAAATTTTTCTTTTGAAATTTTTCATTATTAAAAAGTTTTTTATAAAATATTTTTTATTTTGTATTTATTTATTTTTTCTGGTTTGTTAAAACTGTTATTACATGACTGATTTTTATAGTTGGTTGGTTAAACAGTCAATTTTCTTATTTACTTACTTCTTATTACTTCATATATATATATACATAAAGTAGAATTATTTTAAAAGTTGCATCCATACTGGTAAGTTTATATACATATATATATATATATATTGTTTACTTCTGGAAATCTTCAAAATGGTACTTTTGTGTTAGCAGTTCCTGTGTTGCTTTTATCTTAGGGTTAGTCAGGTACTTCTGTTTTGTAGCAGCTGCCATGAAATTAGCTCAGCAAGCACAAATAGCCTGGCTTGAAAAAAAAGTCACCAGCAAGAATCACACAGAGATAACAAAAATGTTGTAGGAAGACATAAAGTAACAAAATTATATTTATTTTGTGCATATGCTTTTCCACTTTCATGTAGTTTCTGGTGGCCTTCTTGTACATAATTTCTTGCAATTGCTGTGAGAAATAATAAGTTAATGAGCTTCAGTATGGTGCCAAGTCTCTCATAACAGAAGATGTGATAATAACCACAAATCTATACATCAGTGAATAAAACATTAGAGATGCAACCTTAAAAGTTGCAAAAAGAAGAAAGGCATTCAAATTGTAAATTAGTTCTCTGGTCCCCAGCTGTCATTTTTTATTATAATTTATCTATTTTGGAGTAAAACTCCCGTTGATAAAATGATGTAAGAAGCAGTTTAAAATGTGCAAAATAATTGTTCACTTTCTAGTCAACAACTATTTCAGTTTAGTAGCTGGTAGTAAGTAGGATTTCTTTTCAGTTTATGATCAACTTTGACACATGAGTTTTCTTTCATAGTGGCTATTATAACACAAAGTACCAAATTTCACAACTCTTCAAATTTAAGAAGATAAATGTAATTTCAACTTTTATGTGCATTTACATATACAGTCAAAAGTTGTTAATCCGGACTCGTCGGGACTTTGGCGATTCCGAATTATAGATCATCAGTTTAAATCTGGTAAGATGGCATGCAGAAATTATAAAATTAAAAATATGAAACTGTAATTTATGAAATAAAGAACAATTATTATCTAGAGGGTATCAAAATTTACAAAAAAAAAAAAAAAAAAAAAAAAAAAAAGCTATTTATTTGTTTACTTTATTAAACATTTCTTTCAATGTAAGTTGTTTAAGTTGCTTCGTTTTATTTGTGATAATACATTCTCTTTAATTCTATAAACAGACATAATTTCTTGTTCACTTACAAAGTTCCGCTGTTCAAGTCCTATAATTGCTGTGTCTACTGACTAATTTGTCAATCGAAATTTTTTCGTTTTCAATAACCTCTGTCGCTTTCTTCGCTATCGGAAGCGAATTATAATGATGAGGAATTTGATTTAAATCATATCAAAGACGAAGTACATCGAGACAAAATACTACATTTATTAAGGAATTATAAGCCAAATAAAATAAAAACATCTGCCCTGAAGATAAGGTTAGTGCTGACAGATCAACTTCCAATTCATTGTGTGCTGCAGCGTTAAAGATAAACAAAGTTTAGATAAACAAACGTTAAAGTTTAGATAAACAAAGGATATGCCTTTATCCATTTTTTGTAGCAATTCCACTTTTTGTTTAATGAACTTCGAAACATACTTTCACTTTGTAGATCCTTTACATATTAATAAATATATATCAGAAATTCTATTTGACATAATCGAAAGTTCAAGCTTACTTTTATAAAATTGCTCTAACAGTCTGCAAAAAATAATAAGCCGGATTCAATTCGAAGATTAAGGAACAACGCAATCTGCAGTATTAACTGAAGTAAATAATTAGATAATTTTAGCTTAGCTTATACCGTCCGTTATACATTAAACACGCACTCGTAAACGTATTTTGCGCACGCGCACAAGCATATTCACAGCCGTAAAGGTCGACGCATGCGCAGAAAGTTTGAAGCTTTGAGGTCCGGATTATGGGTATCCAAATTAACAACTTTTGACTGTAGTTGGTTTTATGGTTGGCCAAAAATCTGTTTTTAATAAATTAATTAAATGATCTTTACAATTTTTTTCGACTTTTGGAAATTTCTTAAAGGGATTTATTTTTTATCTGATGGAAATCCTGATTAGGTTTATGCTGCAGAGCAGTCTGAGAACAATTTGCGGGCTGTGAGACTTAACAGCGTGACAAGAATGACAATTGACACCTTCCGTAGAAGAAGAGGAAATATAAAAGCAAGGTCTCTCATTGATCTTACAAATGATAAGGAAATATTTACATATCTTCACTTATGGTTTACTTGGATTTTAAAAGCTGGTGCTATGCGAATAACAGAAAGACTGGTGGAAAGTTTTCCAAATGAAGATACTTTTATTGATTTGGAAAGACAAGAAGGTAACTAATTAAAATTATCTTATAAATTTTTTCTAATTTCCTCTTGTAATAAATTTCCAAAACTCAGCAATACTTTTGTAAATGCAAATAATATTTAGTTACTATTCTGTTTTTAGTCTTAAATTTCTGTTATTCAGTTTTGCATGTATTTTGGAAACAAATTTTTTTAAATCATGCAGTCCATCTTTTAATACAAAATTAAAATATATTTGACTCCAGTAAGTTATTATAGGAGTTCTTAGAACAATTTAAGCTTTCAAACTGCATTCTGTCTGTCTAATATTTAAATGCAGGGTAAGGCAGAAATTATCAATTAATTTTTGTAAAAACTGTATAGCTTTTTAATGCAGATAATTTTGTTTATTATTCCATTGATGTTACCTTATTTATACTGTTGGTTTGAGTTTTCTTTCTCTCTCTCTCTGTCATTTTTTTTTTTTTTTTTTTTTTTTTGTTTTCCCTATCCAAAGGGGCTTTGTTCCTGAGGGACTTTTGTTTTTTTTTTTTTTTTTTTTTTGCGAATTTTGTGTCGAAAACACTATGAAATGCCTGTTTCACTTTTCAAACTGTTGCCACCCACTATTAGAGCCCTGTATTATATTTGGAAAAATTAAATAATGAAGAATCTGTATAAATGTATGTATGTGTCTCGCATTGTGGTAAAACAGCGGTACCTAGAGCTATCCAATTTTGAATGACGCAATCGGTCTGTGAATATGGGCATCTGGAAGCCCAAATTTGGAATTTGTTTTATTATCGATTTCATATTTTGTAAAACGTTAATGAATTTTTGATTAACAACCTCAAGGATTTCAAAGCGAGCAATGGCAACGCAAGTGAAAGAACATGATATTTAATAAATAAATGTTTTTTCAGATTTTCTTTTTTATTTATTTATTTATTTATTTATGTATTTTTTTTTTTTGTAAAAAAGAAAAATATATATATAAGCTTTAGGATGATTTAAAAAGTTAATCCATAATATCTGATATTTTGCTTTAGAGCATTGTATTTATAATTTTTATTAGTCACCATATTGAAATTATGCTTGGTATGTCTTTTCATAATGCTTTTTATTATATTCATCTCAGTTCTGCTTTTAATGGTTATAAAAACTATATCATTTTTTATTATATGATTTATTTTATAAGGAAAGAGATTAAGTTACAGTAATCACCATATGTAATTTATTAATTCATGTAGCAGATGTGCAGAAAATCATATGCTCTCAAAACAGTTATTTGAATTTAATTCATGTTTAATTTGTGTCATTGTTTTATGTATAAAAATAGAAGTTATGTATTTAATACTATAAAATAACATAAAGTCAATATTTGTAGAAACGGAGGAAGGCTTTATAAAAATTCATCTGACTCCATCAGGAGATGAAATCATACCAGCTATAAATGATTCATGCTATAAATCTGATAACAGTCTGACTTCAGGAGAGGAAGATAGTTTTGATGGTGCAATAGCATTTTCCTCTATCAGGGAACTTTATCAGGTTATGCTCTTTTTTGAACTATTTGAATTGGTGCTGTGAATTTATTTATTTATTGTTATTAATTTTAAAAATAGGCTTTCAGATGTTATGTATTAAGTTGTTGTCATGGCAGATGTTTAATATTATACAATAAAGCAGTATGCTGAGTGAAAATTTATCTGATACTTTTTTAAGGGGGAAAAAATTAACTTTTGCCTTCTGTGCAGACAAAGAGAATAATCATGTGTAAAATTTTATTGCACATCTTTTGTTGAAAATATATTAAAATACTTATGTAGACTTGCATGAAGTTATAAAATTAATTAAATATGATGTCATTAATTATAGTATTCTAAACAGAATGAATAGAAATAATAGTTGAAATTACATTACTTGATATATCTTCTTGGATCTTTATGTTAGACTACTGTAAGCCTGACAGCTAGCTGAATATTTATAACTTTAATCACTATTTAAATATAATAAAAAAGTGCTCGTATGGATTAAAATGTACTCAAGATTTTCAGCTGTGCCTGCTAAAAAAGGCTGTAGTCTTGACAAAAATATCTATAGTGTTTTAATTGTCCTTTGGTTACAGTGGGTGAATTCATGTATCAAATGCTAAAACAGAGAAGGTGTATTTATATCATGATTATTTTTCTAACTGTGCAGCTCTTAATTCTGTTGTTTAAAAAAAATAAAATTATTTTTAAATTTTTAAAAATTGTTTTGTTTCTTAATGTAATATTTCCCCTTTAATATTTTAGGTTCTGGGTAAAGATAAATTCCATTGCCTAGCTTTTCACACCATTGTTGGAAACCAGATAATCATAAAATCGAAGTATTTACCTGTAATAAAGTCAGTGATTACTTGTCTAAAGGTATGCTATGTGGTCTAATAAATCTAGTAAATATAACAGCTATTTATTAGAATTTTCTTTTTACCTCTCATTATCTTGTATCTTATATTATACCGCCAGTGATACCTGGCTATTAGTGCAATACACCACCATTAATCTGTTGGTGCCTTTCTGTTATGAAATATATTTTCAATATCAGTAGATCTCTTAAATAGAATTTTTAGTCTCCAGCAGATTTGCATTCAGAATCACATGCAACAGATTCTTCTTCATTTTCACTGGCTCCATATGAATTGTGCTAAATAAAAAGGAAAATAACTTCCCTTAATTAATTACTTACCTTATATCTTCTATCTCATGCTTGAAAAACTGGAAGACTTATGAATCTCTACCAAAATGTCACATGCTGGTAAATAATAGATTACTTCTGCTTCAGTTCATACTAAATCTAATAAATGCATGATGCAATACAAATTAATGTCCTGAGAACAATTTTTTTTTTTTTTTTTTTTTTTTTTTTTTTTTTTTTTTTTTTAAGTTGACATTGTGAAGAATGAGCTTGGTCCTCTTGAGCTGAAGTTGATATTGAAGAAAGTCATTCCCGTCATCCTTAGCTAAAAAGGGGATGAGGTGTGGGGGGAAGGAAACAAGTACAAAATTCTATCTCTTGTGAAAGAATCTGGAACAGCTTCTAGAGTTGCCTCAACACTCATGGAAAAGCTGAGTCGTGTAGCATTGTTGGTGGTATATTGAGGATACCATCTAATACAAAATCCTCCTTAGGATCATAAACTTGTAACACCCAAAATACCCTAAGTGCTAGGCAGTTTGGCTGTTGTGTATTGATGTCATATTTCTTGTCAGGCCAATGCTTCTGTATTTATATATATTGGAAGCTGGAAAGTTTAAAACTGTTATCCGTTTGAACAAGTCTTCCTCAGTACCTTGTTGAGAAAAGCATTTTATGGACCCTTGCTTCCAGGAAGGTTCCTTTATCCTTCTTTTCAATTGGTTAGTTTCTGTGACACACAAGGTTAAATGGACTTTTCTTCTGTTATCATAAAATATTGTGCCTTAGAAGCCTCCTTGGTACTTTCTGATTCTCCCTTCTTGAAATGCCGTTAGCAACTAATTTTTCATCTGACTTTAACATAAAGAACAAAAGCTATTATCAAAAATGGCAGTGCACTAAGAATCAAATAAAACAGCAAATCAATTGATAATATTAGCAATGCAAGAAACATCCATAATAAAACACCTTTTCTTCCACCTTTCATTACATAGCAATTGCTTTTAGCTGAAAATTTTTACTTAATGTTCTGTTTTGCAGTAAATTAACATGATTGGCCGATGATGTACAGTGATGTATTATTTATGCTAATGAATACATCACATCAGTGAACTCCGGGAGTATTCACTTGCTTTTGCTTTGGTTTTGATATAAAGGCTACTGTTCCAGCATAGGTGTTTTAATTTACAAGTAAAATTATTGTTACTTTTGCTTATAAGTTTCAGCATTTTGTGTATGAAAAGCTAAGTATGCTTTTCAATAGCTTTGTATGCTTCCAGCTACGAGAGGTGATGCAACTCAGTGTTAAAAGAATACAAGTGAAGGGAGCCACTATCTGAAAAACAAAGGCAGGCATGTTTTAGAAGTTGGTTCAAGCTGTTGTGCTTATGTGTAATTGAATATGTCACTATTATCTGAAGGGTTTGAACTGTTAAGCCATGACAAACTGGGGTCTACAAAAAATCAGTATAGATCCCAGTTGTAACCATAAGTTTACCCCAATACATAAGTTTAAAACAATTTATCAAAAGGGACAGTTTAAAAATGAAGAATTAATGTTAGTAAGAAATTATGCATCAACTACAGATAAAGGAGGTCATGCAGATAAATTTAATTAGATCTACAGATAAAGGAGGTCATGCAGATAAATTTAATTATGTCTACAGATAAAGGAGGTCATGCAAAAAATTTAATTAGGTAGTAGATAAGCAACTATGACTCATTTCTGCAATAATAGAAATTTAGTGATATATTTTTGAAGAAATAAATGATGTACATATATCTCTAGCTGTAGAAATTTTTCACAGTATGTATTAAGAAAAGACACCATCAAATTTGCAGAAAAGTAGGCAGTTGAATTATTCAGATTGAATTAGAAAATGTGTCATATAATCCAAACCTGAGAGGAAATTTACTATTGGGAGCAAGGTTAGAAAAGATAGGTGCCCATTTTGTACATTCAAATGGTAAAATGTAGATATACTTCAATAATAGGAATAGATTATGTTATGCAAAATGGTATTATCCAACTCTATCATGTATGATTTGCATTATTAGACTCATGTAAAACCACTTAGGTATGCTACAGACTAAAAGGAAGCTGTTCACAGTATGGAAAGTTAAATAAAATAAATGATGCAAAGGTATGGCTTCAAAGGTTTTAACGTGTATACTTTAATTATATTCAGAACACTAGTAAAAATCAAAGCATGCAAAGTGTGACCCGAAATTGAAAAATCAATAGAGAAGTGCCAATCATTTATTATTGCTAAGTCTAGTAAATATTTAAATCTGTTCCGAAGACATGTAATAAACCATTGCAAGTGGTTTATTTAAGTATTTGTGACATGCTCTCAATTTCATCTAAAGGTGGGAGTAAATATTTCCTTGCTATCGTAGATGTCTGTAGTAGATTAGTAACTGTTTATTGTATGAAAAGTAAAAATGAATCGTCACATGAGAAAACTGACAAATAGAAAATTAGCTAGTATACGTACTGATAAAAGTGGTGAATTCTGTAACTGGCAATTTGAAAGGTAATTAACCAAAATGGAATTAGAGTTGAACATACAAAGAGAATGGGGCATGTAAACATTTGCAGCATTAGATATGCTTAAAGCTATACTTAATGATAGTAAAACAGGAAAAGAAAGGTATGCAGAAGCTCTTGGATGTTTCATACATCTTTGGAACTGGGTGTGTCATAAAAATAACCAAACCCCATATAAAATGTTTCTCAATAGAAAGCCCAGTGTTATTTATTTCAAAGTGTTTGGATGTAAGCTTATGTTGGTTTGCCAAAACAGACTAGAGATAAATTACAAATGAGTTGCAAAGTAGGAATGAAGATTGGATATGCCAAGGAAACTAGGGGGTATAAAATATGGCTACCAGAAGAATAGAGATTAATAGAAACCTACAATGCGAAATTCATTGAAAGAATGAACACAGCAAATTCTTTTTGTACATATGGGCTAACTGTCAATTAGATGTGAAAAATTCATGTTCATATGACCGATGATGTAGTGTCAGATCGGCCAATGACACATCGTGATGCATTTATACTGCAAAGATTACTTTTTATCATTCTTGCTATAACATTTAAAATTTGTATGTGTTTTATATTGCTTCTATGAAGACTCATATTTTAAGTACGCTAATTAAAAAAATACCATTGAAATTTCAAATTTGTAATCACTGATGGCAGCAGTTTTCTAAAACTTTTATTTCAAACTTCTGACTGCAGGCTTGAAACCAGAAAAAAATATTTTTCAGTTGTTATCGTTATACAGATTTAACCAAATTTACAAGTGATGTAAACTGGACTTTATTTTCATTATTTACTGTCTATCGGTTACATTGTCCTGTAATTACTGTTTTAAAAGTCTTTTTGTTACATGTCATTTATGTTGGATGATATTTTTGCTAATAGCTCACACATGTTGTAGAGATAAGATTATTTAATTTATATGCATAATTTTCATTTATACGAATTAATTGTTTTACTGTGTTTGGTCACTATATGCAGTTGCTTGAAAAGCCAATCATTAATGTAGATGGATCAACAATCCATCTAATACTGTTATATTAATTATGTATTGTATCTCTTCCATCTAATAGTGGTATGTGATTATATATAATTTTCTTAACTAGCATCATTACCAAAGTTATTTTTCAGTGTGTAATGTTGTATTACCATTATTATTGGTAGTCTATGATATTTAAATTTTAAAAGAATATGGAAAACCACATTTAATTAGATATAAATTTTCTTATAAAAATGTTGAATATATTGAAGCTGAAATTGTGATGCTGTTGATTGACATAGCAAGCATCATCATAATAAACATTATTATTTATGTAAAAGATATGATTTTTTCATATTTGAGGAACTGCCACGACATTATTCATAACAGGTCTTACAAACAGATATTTTGTTTTGTTAAAATCTTATAAGTTTTAAATAATATTTTGTGTGACATTTGTGATACACATGCCAGCATTTTGAAAGCATATTTTAAATGAAAACTAGCAATTTTTTTAGTCTTCTTTATAAAAGTAAAATCATTGTAGGATATATACTGTATGTTTTTGTTGCAGAAACAGTTTCTACTACTTGAATATTACCCAATATCCATCAATCACTTTTCAACAATCAATTTAAAAAATATTATATGTCTGATAATGAATTGCTTCTGATTAATTTCTCAGCAATTCTAGTAAATGTATGATGCTGAATTCAATAAAAATTAGCACTACATGAACTAATCTCGAGAACTAATTACTTAAAAAACTAAGAAAAGAAAGTAATGCAGATAGATATGTGTTTAGTCTAATTGCTCTGAAAAAGAAATAATAAATATAATCCTGCTTCTTATTTAGCTGTCATCTAATCCTGCTTCTTATTTAGCTGTCCCAAAAATGCATCTTTATAAAAAAAAAATCCAGAAGAGCTCTTTTAGAGTTGCTTCAAAGCTTTCAGGAAAGCAAAGTTATGTTTTGTATTGTTGGCAGTGTATCGACAAACGTCATCTCATACCCAGGCACTGTTTCCTGTATTAGTATTTGTATTGTTAATTACTGCTATGATAGAGAGTAAAATAGTATTTGTTCGACTTCATACTAAGTTTTATCATTTCCCTTTTCTCTTTATTAGGATTTATTGCCACGTGGTTGCTACTATCCTATCTACTATTCAGTTTCTTATCAAGATTCATGGAAGTGTAACTTTTTGGGTTTATTGCCTGATGTTCAGATTCCTGATCATGTTAATTCATCTGAGTTACATATCCAGATCAATATAACAAGCAAAAATGATGATGCAGTTGTTAATAGCTTAGATGATTTTGAAATAGTTTTCCATTCAACTGCAACTTTACCTGATAAAGGTAATATTTTAGTTTCTTATATTCCGATACAAGTTAACCTTTAAGTCAAGTGATCCTTATAAAAATTCCTTTTAAAAAATAGTCAACAGTGAGATATGATGCAAAATGCTTATTTATTAAATGCTTTTAATTTGTTTGTTACAACTTTTCATGTTTAGATAAAATAGAAGTGTTTTAAAAGAAGTGTAAGTCTTCTATTTCAATAAATACAGGACAGTAATTGAGAAATAATTTTGAAAGAAATGAAATCAATTGTTTATTGTTAAATGATGTATTCTTGTACAAAAACTGAAACAATCTCGAAATTTCTTAAAATTTATATAAAAATCAAGGCACTATGAAGTAGTTCATTCAATTAATGCATTATGTAGTTCAACCATAAAATTTTTACCATGAAGAGATATTATTTTGATTATTAATATGTAAATTGTAATCAAGATATGTTACTTTAGTTATAAAAGGTGGCATATTGTTATTATCAGGGCTATGGCATTGGTAGTGAAAATGACCGACTCCGACTCCTTCATATATATATGTGATGATACGGCAGGCATTTCTGTAGCAGAGTGTTATTATTTTCCAGCAATCATGACGATGCTTGGCATTGTGATGGCTGAGTGGTAAGGCTGAATCCAAAGGACGATGCATGATTTAGCTTTCAATTATACATTTTTATTCCATTCGAGTGGCAGATTTCAAATTAACTTTTCCAAGTTACATATTCCATAATGATTTAACCTAAGTACGATGAAATTTATGCTTTCTGCATCATAACTTTCTAACAAAGGAAAGATGGTATAAGCAGCAGCAAGGCGCGTAACGCAAGCGGAGAGGAAGCTTCTTCTGCGTAGCAAAATGGCGCGAGCTCGTTATTTATACAAGTGGTTACATAACAGACTACAGAATTCTGGAAGGTACTGTTCAAGAGGGGAAGATCCTAAATTATGGAAAGTTACTTAGGGGTTGCGTGTTTGCATAGAGCAAAGCCATCATATTTTTTATATTTTACATCTCCCCCCCCCCCTCAAAATGAGAGACCGGGCAAACAAAGCATTAGTACCTTAGTGAAGCCAGAAGTATGAGAAAGAATTATAAAATTTTGAATTATATAATTTTACAATGATTTATAAATAAACATATAACTAAATTTTATATGGAAGAAGAAGAATAAATTAAAAACATAAAAGTCCTGAAATTTTCTCAAAATGTCCATTAAACAGTCCTTTCATAAAAATAATTGAAGTCAAATGAAAATACTTTTTAAAGGTCTCTTGATGGCAGTAAGTCCGGTTTATTTTCATCTTGTGGACTAACAAGTTCACAAATATTATGCAGTTTTTCCAATAAATATGATTGAATAATAATTTTTGAATAGAAAATGTACAGTTTATACCATTTATAAATAATGTATTATGTGCATTTATTCTCATCGTAGGTAATTAACAATGCATTGACATATTTGAAAATAGTTTAAAAATTGAATACAAAACATTACCATACAATTCAATATAAGTAATATGATACAATAAAGCAATATACTATAAGATACGATACTATAAGACATTAACACTTTGAATCAAAATTTTGGCACGTCCTCGCCAACAGATCAGCATGACTAGCTTGCTGATGGTTGGGGGGTGCTAGGTACAAAATATCAAAAAACCTCCGTTGCCTAATAAAAGTTAACTGGTTTTTGGCATTGTACATAGTATCAAAGTGTTTTTGTAAAAATACAAAATCCTACAAAATTAAATTTTTGACATGAGATATATAATTTTGAAATATACAAAATATAATATTAACTTTAGAACAATAAATTTATAATATGTAAAATTTTCAGTTCAATAATAATTTTTAGCATCCTATGAAGATTTAAGTCCAATCTATAGAAATGTCTTGTTTCTGGCACATCACAATTTTGATATTTCAGGGAAGGATTATCCAAAAATTTGTACGTACCAGATCACAATTATAAAAATTTTATATACCCATTAGTTATTAAGAACGATCATAAATCTTAAAATTTAAACCATTTATAAGTAATATTTTTACCATTTGTAATAACATGATTGAAATTATGGTTTTACTTTTATTACTACATTTTACAATTTTCTTATTTTACACAAACTAGAAGACCCCATGGCTTTCTCCTAGTACGCACATCCAGCTAGTTGGGCAAATCCACTTTAAACAGACTCGTGTATTAAATTTTCATGAGTGATTAGCGAATTGCACTACAACATTCAATTAAATTTTTAAAAAAAATCACACTCCATCATATTAAAAAATAAAATAAAGTGTGAGCCTTCAAAGTTTATATTATATTACATGACAAGGGTAAAAGGAACAATTATGCAGAGGTAAAAAAAACCTCTGTTTCTTAACCAGTACTCCCTCATCAAAGTTCATATTAAATATACAATTATTGATAATTATAACATTCATTTACCATAATTCCAAACAAATTTTAAAACAATTTGCTCTTAATTAAATTCTGATATAAATTTTAATACGATTATTCAATTTTCTTAAGTCTCGGATATTTGTATATTAATTTTAATAATATTTAACATTCTCCCATTTAATAATTATTTCATTTATATTTCACAAACACATCATTCTAAAAATAATTAGAAAATATTTCAAAATTCTCATCTTGTCAACAAAATAAACCCCAAATTTTTAACATTAATTCAAAATTTTTGACAAAAATTGAAAATATAATTATTTATCTTAATAACCTTCCCTAAAAATAATTAAAATCTAAAAATTCTTTACTTACCTTACTAAATTATTAGAATTTAAATTTCTAATATGATTACATTGTTAGATTTCGAAATATAACCAATTATTGAGCAAGTTATTTTTAATGATGCAGTTAAAACACATTTTTTCAATATCGTCACTTGTTTTCATCAATGGAAACAACTTCGAACATTTAAATTGGAAGCTAAGAAATTAATGATATTTCGATCACATTTTTGATAATATTTCACTTTCCAAATAATATAAGCACTTTTGAAGACGTCATGACCTTAGATCTTGTATTTATGATTAATTTTTTACTTTTTTCCAATGAATTTGCATCGATGCTTTTAAAATTTTTGAAGCACGAATCTTGAATATGGAATATAATTTCACCAAAATTAATCTGAATCACACAATATTTTGCTGAAAATTTTTCACTAATTCACTTCACTTCACAGCGCACTTGAAAAATACTCATTTCATAGCTGATGAAATGATGCACTGTAACTAACTTTGACTCTTTTTGCAGTTGATGCTGAATTTAGTAGCGCACATAGATTGACGGAGCCGTAGATGAAGATAAGCACATGAAGGCAATAATTAACTATTTTGCTTTCACTAATCGTAGCCACAATTGGGATGATAACACTGTAGCACTATTGAACTTTTGTAGATACTTTACCGAAATCCACTTGGGGAATAATGATCCATTTCGCACTTAGGTAATCTTGTCAAACTAATTAACAACTGTGATGATACGGTAGGCATTTCTATAGCAGAGTGTTATTATTTTCCAGCAGTCATGATGAAGCTTGGCACTGTGATGGCTGAGTGGTAAGGCTGAATCTAAAGGACGACACAAATTGATTTAGCTTTTAATTGCCCATTTTTATTTACTACAATTAGCAGATCATTTTCCTTTTAGATAACACTCTTTAAATTATATATCCATAGTGGTTTTAACTAAGTATGATTGAATTTAAACTTTATGCGTTGTAACTAATTCTAACAAAGGAAGAAAAGATGGACAGGGCAGCGCAGAGTATTGTAGCAGCAAGATTAGGAAGCAAATCTGCCTGAAAAATGGCACGTACTCAGTATTTATAGTAGCCGTTATGTAATAGGCTAGCAAATTCTAGAAGGTACTGGTCTAGGGGAAAGATCCTAAATAGCAAAAAATTAATTAAAGGTTGCGTGTTCGTGTAGAACAAAGCCATCGTATTTTTTATATTTTACATATATATGTAAACATAAACACATGGGTTACAGCTTACTTTTCTAATATAAAAGAAGTAATAGATGCTACAGAAATAATAATAATAATAATAATGACAGCAAATTATTTATATTAGTTAGAAAAACTGCCATTAGTTATTTCTAAGAAACAATATAGCTTTGGCAAGATCTTCTTTCTTGGAGGACAATGGATCTGATTTGATAAACTTCGGAGCTGAGAAGAGTCTTTCCACATTAACAAACTAGTTTCCCTTTTCTTCATTGAAGAAATTATTCCTTCTGCAATAAACCCTCCATCAGAAAGTACAAACACCACATTCTCCCATTCTTGCCTCCTGTTAATTCTTCAGATTGTAGCTTTTTTGTGGCTATATATGGTGTTGAAAAACAAGTTTCCAATTCTGCAAGATCATTTTACAGTCTTTCTGTTAGCGAAACATTAGGGTTATCTACATCTTCTAAAAAAGTTCTAACAACCTCTATGTCATCAAATATGTACTTCCCCATAGCGTTGCTTGATCAATAATTGCTCCTTTTCCTAAGAATGGTATCAATTTTGAAAGTTCTTGCTGCTGTTGCTTACCTAAATTTACCAGTGAGATTCGTAACTAAATGAAGTAACTAATGAATCGGTTTAAATACTAATGGTAAATATCACATCCATCCTCCTCCCTTATATTTATTTATTAATATGTCAATAAAATAGAAAATAACTATTTATTAATGTAGTCTATAAATAAATAATTTTTTTTTTTTTTTCAATTCACTTTAATTTCAAATTCAAACTGCCCAACAAAAACTGGAGTCGAAGTTGACCTGTTTTTAGCGACTCGAGCTCCGACTCCCTTTACCCCAAAATCTGCCCTCCGACTCCTTTTACCCCAAAATCTGCCCAACTCCGATTCCGACTCCACAGCCCTGGTTATTATAAATGCACACTACGTTTCCTAATTGAAAGTTCAGCATTGTATTTATGAAGTTCAGTCATATGCAAGGAATAATCCTGTAGTAAAGAAAAAAAGTTGCATAAGTTCCCTCTAGATATGAAGGAACATTCATACTTTTGGATGTATGGGATTTTAAATAAAAAGTGAGATACATTATATTGTTATTCTTGATGGACATTATAGGTTTTATGCCAGAATGTTTGCATATATCTAACAAATTCAGATTCATTTATAAACCTTAAATATTTTTAACCAGAGTTATTGATAATAAATAAAGATTTAAAATATGTTTTATAGATGAAATATGCACAATTGAGATATTTCAGAAAATATATTCACACTGGATAAAAAGACTTCAAATGATGAATTGGGTATGCAAATAAGTTTTGAAGGATTTACATAAGATGGTGTTACCAGTATTAAATCCCATCGGACAATCTTGTAACTATATTTATGTTAATGCCCCAGCATTTCTGTCTAAAATTCAGTCTGTTTCATTTCGCTGAAGTGTAAGTAACAAACTTTCTTTGTGTTCAGTCCATGTCAACCTTTGCCAACAAAACGAAATTTGCAGGAAGCTCTTCTTTTTTGTTTTAATTTGAAGAAAAGTGCAGCTGATGGACATCAGTTGCTGTGTGAAGCATATGGGGTACATACTCTATCAATAAAAACATGTGACCAATAAAGTTTGAAGATGCTGAGTTGGAGGGTTTATTGGACCATGATTCATGCCAAACTCAAGAGGAGGCTGGCAAAACTTTTGTAGTGACTCGGTGATTTCAAAGTGTCTCAAGGCCACGGGTAGGGTGCAAATCAAGGAAATTGGGTTCTGTATGAACTCAATCAAGCCAAGCAACGTCAAACGCTGCGAACAGTTGCTCCAAAGGCAAAATCGGAAGGGAATTTTTGCATCAAATTGTGATGGGGGATGAAAAATAGATCTACTATGACAACCCAAGGCACAGAAAATCATGGGGTAACCCCAGCCATGCATCAACTTCAACGGCCAAACCAAATGTTCATGGCAAGAAGCTAATGCTAATGGTAGGATGAGCTCGGAGTGATGTATTATGAGCTATTCCAGCCTTACAAAACCATCACTGGGGAACTTGTTGATACAACTGAGCCAAGCATTGACGCTCAAACGCCCCCAATATTCCAAAAGACATGACAAACTTTAACCCGACAGAGCTCCCCCACATGCTGCAAAAGTCGTCAAGGAAACTTTGGAGGCGCTTCAGTGAGATGTTCTACTCACCTATTGTATTCACCAGGTATTCCTCCTTCCGACTTCCACTTGTTCCAGTTGATGACTCATGAATTGTCCGAGCAGCACTTCATACGATGAAGCCAAAAATTGGGTTGGTTCTTGGATCACCTCAAAAGATGAGGAATTTTTTAAATGAGGAATCCGTATGCTACCTGAAAGATGGGGAAAAGTTGTAGCTAACGGTGGACAATACTTTGGGGGGGGGGGGAAATGTTCTTCCAATTTCTCTGAATAAAGCGTCAAAGTTTCCAAAAAAAAAAAAAATGCTCAAAACTTATTTGTACATTATAAGCAATAATATATATTGCATTATATATAGCAATATATTGCAATTGTTATAAGCAATTGAATAAAGTAGAAAAAGGGAATTCTTTTATGTAGAACAATGTAAAAAATTAAAAATTCTATTGAAAATATGTTAATTAGTAATTTGATATGGCTATATTTTTGTACACTCTGCCAGGATTGGTATAATGATTGTTAGTTCTGTTGGCTTCAGGATCAGTATCCATAATTCTTTGTCTTTTATTTCATAATCTACTTTAATACTTTTGCTTTTCAAAGTTATGGATTTATTCATCTATAGATTCTTTCCACTCTATTTTAAGTTAATATTCTATGCATTTCAGTTTTTATTTTTTTTTCTCTATAGTTTCTTTGAATACAGCTTACATTGACATATTTTGATGTTTGTGAAGCTGCTTAAGTTTGTTTCATTAACTTTTGTCATTATCGTCTCAGATCTCCTAAGCTTTTATTTCACCTTCATAATTCACTTCTTCTCTTTTATATGGTAGTTCATCTTCCTCTGTGATACTTCTCTGTATTTTTAAATTTCTTAGTCTGCTTTTAATTCTCTTTGGCCATGAAATTTTCACCAGTTAATTTTTCTATGTGAGTAAAGTGTATTGTATTTTACACCTTTTCCTTTTAATTCACAAATTATTATATAGATAAGATTTACCTTAAAAAATTCACTGATGTCCCTTATGTCTTAAAATTTCATTATCAAAGAAGACAACCATGCTCTGCTGCCATATGTTGATGTTTTCTAAGCTTTAATGTCTTTAGATGTCAAGTATTTTTAAAATAAACATTAAAAAGAAACACTTCCAAACAAGTTTATTGAAAAGCAGTCATCATAGCCAGAACATCCTCTAAATCAAAGCATTGACAACTGATGCCAGATCCACGAAATTAATTTAATCTTTTATAAGTAAAAAACATCAGTTTGGCCAAATACTGAAATGAAGTTAGTCTTTTACTATCATTATACATACAAATACCATCATTTTACATTAACAAAGTTTTGAAATATTGGTAACTTGAGTTCTTTCAGCACTTCATGAAGGTTTAAGAAGCTTGACCTTAAGCTGGGATTTAGTTTCAAGTGATTGTTATTTGTTTTTCAAACTGAAATCTGACCTTTGTGAAAAGACATTGATGATGATAGCATAAAAAGAGCAATTCTGCAACATTTTGAGAACAAACCTTCAGATAACTTTTTTTTGGAGGCATAGAGTTGTTCACTAAATGATGTGAAAAAAGTTTCAAATTTTTTAATATGCATATGTAACCTCTTTTTTTTTTTTAAAGATACATTGCTATGAACAAAAAAGTAAAAATTATTGCCTTTCTCATTTGGTGTAATTTTTTCTAGTTCCTGTAATTCTCAATGAAATGGAAAGAGCAATAGCAGATCCATCATTTTCAAATGCTGCATTGGATAGCTTTTTATTCAGCATAAAAGAAATATGGATGAAGTAAGTTTTTCAGTAACTGATATAAAAGTCTGCATTGTAATTTTTTAAGTTTTAGAAATGATAATTTAAACATATCAAAAGGAACTTATTACTGAAGTAAATTTAACGATTGCTGGAGAAAGTCAAATTAACATTTCAAGAAACGTATCACTGCTTATTTGATATTATATTTTATTAGCATAATATTTTATTTTTTATCTTGCATTTTCTCTCAGCTGTATGTTATAGAAGTATTTTAATCAGAAGTTTATAAATATTATTTGTTTGTATGTGAAATCAGAAAATATTTTCAAATATTATTGCTAAGAGTGCATAAATGTGACTCTGCCGAAGAAACTGCTACATGCAGAAACAGCAAGTGACTGCATGTATACGTAAGAAATCAGCAAAAAGTGCAGTTCCAGTTGTCATAAATATTTAATGAAGAGTTCCATTATTAGAAGTTTGTTTTCTAGAGACATTAGGTAATTTGGAAACATGAAATATGAAAAATATGCAACACCTTCGCTGGGAATTGAACCATGGACCGCTGAATTATGTGCCCCATGTGCAGACCATGAAAGCATGCTAAGAAAGTGGGAGAAATACCTTATAGTTTTATTTGAAGAACTTAAATGCTGTATCCATTTCATTCTAAGGAAGTAGAGTAATGCACTAATTTATTCAAAGGTAGTAGCACTAGATTATGTACACAACTTAATTCAAAAGAAGCAGCGCTAAGAACAACACATTTTCCTGTAATTTTTTTTATTGTTGGACAGGTAGGCAGGTAAAAAAATGGCAAATACATGTGGTGAATGCTTATATTTATGGGAAAAGGCATACTCATCTTGTAATGTTCTAATTGAAATATGTTTATCTGAAATTAAAATCTGTAGCATTGTGACCACAGCTAGCTGTAAAGTTGTACTGGTAAAAACAAAACTGGTAAAATTTCACCCAGACAAACTTTAACATTTAACAAAAGGAATTTAATTAAACACAAACACTACATAAAGAAAGTTACATGACAAAACTAACAAGAAGTAACACAAAGAAATATTGCTCAAATGAAAATAAAAAGTACATGTTCATAGTTTTCTGCCGAAACTCGAACTAACTAGTTCGGGCATAGGTATTTTTGAATAGCATTCCGATAAGGTGGCGCTGCAGTGCATGAGGCTGTAGCATTCGTTGTAGACTCCCCCTTGGGGTCTGATGACATCCCGTCAAAGAGCCCATGTCGGATAGTTCAATTTTGCGAGGTCTGCCTCTTTTCCTCATGGAGTCACTGGACCTTGGTCTTTCAATGGAGGCAGTTTATAGGGTCTCATCATATTGGTGATAAGTACCTAACACTTAATCAGGAGTAGCAGGATCTGCAATGTCATATATTGTGAGAGATCTGTTAGTAATCATTAGATACGGACCTTCGCGGTTAGGCATAAATTTTTTACTTTTCTTGTGTATGGATTTACTGCCTGGATGTATAGTTATCCATACTTTGTCACCAGGCTGATAGTAAGTTTGTCTACGTCTTTTATCAAAGTATTCCTTTCTTTTGTCTTGTTTTTGTTCGACACGCTCCCTGATTTGAGGTGTCAAACGAGCGAATTCTTTCAGATACGGCGTAATTTCAGCAACAAAGTTGTCGTTTTCAATAATGCTCTTAAATTGTGATTAACGTCATTCATTTTCCTAAGTTCTCTTCCGAACTGCAAATAAGCAGCAGTATGACCTTTAGTGTCACATATTGCTGTATTCATGGCAAAACGAATCATGGGCGGTTTTTCTTCCCAAGTATCATGAGCATCACCGACTAGTATGGCTAGTTTGGGTTTTAAATCTCTGTTCTTTCGTTCGGAGGGATTCACTTGAGGTTATAAACAGGAATAAGTTCTTGTTTAATACCAAGGAAGTTACAGGTTTGCTACATTACCGCACTTCAACTTCTAATCAACCTTCTGGGTAAACCATAATGTAAAAAAAGCTCCTTCATTTAAGATTTTTTCCCAATTTTTCACAGTGGCTTCTTCCAAGGCAAAGAGCTCTATCCATTTCGTACTGGTGTCTTCAATAAGAAAAATCCATTTTTTCCCAGTTGGGGTTTCTGGAAGTGGGCCAAAAATGTCTATAGCATGTGTTTCAAACCTCTGTGCATACACAGGTGTTCGAAGTAATCCAGCAGGTTTCTGGTTATTTGGTTTATACCGATTGCACTCAGCACAATTTTTCACGTATTCTGAGATATACTTTCTCATACCAGAAAAGTAATACCTGGAGGCAATCTTATGGTACGTGCCTTCAGCTCCACAATGTCCTGCAGTGGGGAAATCGTGGTACTGCTGTAGGACCAAATAACCTACAGCTCTTGACAGGGGACAACTAACTGAGCCTCTTCGGAGTCTGTGTTGGGAGAGTAACGATACAAAACTCCTTGATTCATGAGATATCCTCTACTAGTCCAATTTACATAATTTTCATCTTTTTTGCCACTCTCAAAACAGTCTATAATCTTCCTTACATCTTCATCTTTCATTTGTTCCTCACGAATGTCTTTAGATTTCCGGGATGGTAAATCTATAGAAACAGCATTTAAATCACAAACAAAGTCATTATTTGCATAAGGTCTAGAAAGAAGATCTGCTGTAACATTGGATTTTCCTGGAGTGTCGACAATTTTTGGATGATATGACTGGATTTGAAGGGCCCATCGAGCCAAACGACCAGATGGTGATTTAATACTCATTAGCCATTTAAGAGGTTGGTGGTCAGATGCAATTATTATTTCTTGGTTTTCTATATAACCGCGGAACTTCTCAAAAACCCAAACTACTGCAAGAGCTTCTCTCTCGGTAGCTGAATAATTTCTTTCTGCTGAGCTTAGCAATCGACTTGCATATTCAATCACATATTCCTCTGGGTGTTCTCCTTGGATAAGGATTACTTCTAAAGCATAATTACTGGCATCTATTCTTATGATGAACGGTTTAGTTCTGTCAGGTTGAGATAACACAGGCGGTGAAATCAACCTTTTTTTCAACTCTTCAAATGCTTTTTGTTCAGTTTCACCCCATGTCCACTGTTTATTCTTTTTGTTTAAGTCACTAAGGGGTCTAGCAACTTCTGAAAAATTAGGGACATATCTTCGGAACCAGGCACAGATCTGTAGGAAAGACTGAACTTCTTTTACGCATATTGGTTTAGGAATTTTCTGAAAGGAAGATACATTCTCAGCATCTACCTCTACACCGTTTTCTGTAATCCAATGATGTAAATACTTTATTCTGTCACAAGCAAATTGACATTTGCTCCTGTTAGCATTTAGTTTAAACACAGAAAGTCTTTCAAACACTTTTCTCAGAGCTGATAAATGTTTATCAAAGGTTTCTGATAACACTATGATATCGTCGAGATATGACAAGGCAAAAACATCTTTTAACCCTGATCTAAATTTATCAGTAAGTTGTTGAAAAGTTGCAGGTGCGTTCCACAACCCAAATGGCATTCACAAAAACAGTTCCAAATGGAAGGCAGTTTTCTCTTGAATTGCTTTGTGAACTTTAACTTGATTATAACCTGCTCTTAGGTCAATCATAGACATATATTTCGTTGATTTGGCTTCAATTCGCAAATCATCCATTCCTGGTAATGAATAGGTATATGGAACGGTTTGGGAGTTCAATTTTCAATAATCTATGCACAGTCTGATAGAACCATTAGGTTTAGGAACCAACACAACAGAACTCACATAGGGTGATTCGCATTCCTCAATGATACCCTGAGCTAATAAGGAATCTAGCTCCTTTTTTAACAACTTATTTTCGGTCTTGATTCTGTGCTCAATATAAGGAGTAGGGTCTCCCTCTAGCTGAAAGCTAGTTTTATACTCTTCTAATAATGAATTTAATTTCTTCTGTTGTTCTCTCGTCAAATGTTTTCCTTCATCATCTCTCAACTTCACGGATTCGGTTGCTCCCGGAATTGCAACAGGAGTGTCAGCAGACGTTTTTGTTTCTGGAGATGTTACTTTCAGAGATGTTAGTACGTTTGGAGTCTCTTTAGTTTCAAATGGTTCTTTGTAAAAGGGATACTGCTTTTGTGTATTTTCACTGAAATACCAAGTGCCATTCTGGATGTTGAGCACTATTCCTGCAGCCTGTAGAAAATCAGTTCCAAGCAATGTCCTGTTACCTTTTGCTTTTGGCAAAGCAATAAATTTCATACGGACTATCTTTCCTTCAACATTAAGATTTACCACTGTAGTTAAAGCTTGAACGCCATTAGCTAGTACCATCGTAATATTTGTTGTTTTAAATCCAAATTCTCGATCTCTGAACAACTTATAAAATCTTTCTCCTGCAGTAGAATTCGATGCCCCTGTATCAGCGCAAAAAGCTGCTTTTTCTCCACAAACATTTGGAACACAAAAAAAAATGGAACTGGACAGTAGATCGGATGATTCAACTGCATACAATTTTACACAATTGACGACAGTTTTAATTTCTTCTTTTAACTTATTACACTTAGGGCACTTAGAGTAATCATATATTAATTACTCTTTACACATTCATATTGTATGAAACCGGGATATCCACAACCATAGCAATGAATAGAAGTTTTCCTTTCTTGTCTGGAATTAGTAAATTTTGAATTGTCAATGTTTGTATTTTTAATCTGGTTAGCATTTTTAGAATTACCAGTTTTAGATTTTCCTTCTGGAACAAATTTAATATTTTCTTTACAGTATGGTTTCTTTGCATTGGAAGATCCATTTTTCTTCATGCCAAGTCTTACATTTTCATAATAATCGAGCTTTTCTGCAAGCTCCAATGGATTGTTCATTTCTGATAAACTGTCTACAAAATGTTCTCTTACCTCGGGAGGTGTTCTTTTATTTATTTGATCTGCAATGATCAAGTTTTGTAGCTGCTCAAAACTAGAGATATTCAATTCTCTTTAATCCATCCTTCAAAATAAGATTTCAATTCAAAAGCAAAGTCCTTCCATGTAATTTCTGC